AGCACCGCTTTGTCAGCATTAAAAAAGTAATACAGTCGGTGGATGCACGAGGAACTGAAACCGCATACAATTGAGATGCTCTTAACTCCCTGGGCTGCGACAGCAAAATATTTATATCCTTGGAGAAGACAAAATAATAAAGCATAGCTAACGTACGGCAAGCGTTTCTCCATATCTAACGCAGCGTGTGGAATTGCAATTAACACTTAACTGTGCAACAGCAACTGTACTGCTACTCTGAACGCGTATATTCAAAACTTTTTAAAGGTTTTGTCCCACTTTTGGGACATATTTCAAAGACATGCTCTAGTGAAACCTCAGAACTAGTTACGGCTAATAAAAGCAGCGGATAGTTGCACCGTGGCACCGTCAAGACACAATAAAGATATCAATTTAACTTATATTCCTGCTCAAATTATGCTGTCAGCGCTTTGTAGCATCACTATGCTTCTTCCCCACAGTCGCAACCACCGTCGTCATGACAACCACCGTGCGCATCATTACTAGTGCAAATACAATAATGTTAATGATTAGCCTAGCGGACACAGGCCGATTACAGAGAAGCGCCTTGGTTGAAGGTTGTACTAGTGCGTCGCAAGGGTCATGTGGTACTCCCATTCAGAAAGACAAAAGTGCGCTTCCAAAGTAACCACTGCGGTGAACGCTGTGAGGTAGAAAGCAAAGCCATGGTATAGCGTTTCGTTGAATTCACGGTATAATAACTTCGTGTCCGCATGTATTTTTGTCTAAACAGAGCGTTCCAAGCTTTCGTAACATGTATTACATGGACATTTGACACATCGTTGCGTCGCAAACATTACAGAACACACACGTTGGAAAAAAGCAAGGCAGATGAAATATATTACTTTCATTGTGGTGAGCACGGAGTCAAATAATAGTTCTCCCGAACGATCGGCTACTTCAAATCGAAATTCTAAGATATTTACAAGGAATTTGAGAGGATTGGTATTGTTCATCTAATCGTACACGTCTGATGTAACAAGTTCAGTACAAAAATTGGATGTTCCCTTTAAGCCAAACCTATTATTGACTTGCCTGGTACTGTTCACATACCCGCAATTTGAGGCTAGGGAAAATGATGCAATCCGGTTTGACTCAATACCGCAGTTGAAAAGTCTTCAAGGAAGTATTCCATTTTTGTATGAGGTTTTGAACCGAAACTCCCATCTTGAAGATCATTCGGTGCAGTTCACAGCTCTGCCCTTCTGAAGATCTGCACCCCTGTAGTTTTTTAGTTACGCGCCGGCGGGGATGTGGAGACTATTTCGTATAGGCTTTTCCAAAGTCACCCAGGTATTCATGACGCCAAAATAACGCCATTCAAACCCTGCCACTTTATTAGTCATGCGGCGATCAACGCCAAGGAGAATAAAATTGTCGAGTCATTCATATCTGGCGTTCGGGAGCTCGATTCCCAGATACAACGGCCGTCAACTGACTCTTAATCAATGTTGCGCAAAGCACGATGGCGTTTCCAAACAATGGCATCTTGAGGAACATATTTACTAAACAGGGAAATGACGCCGCCTAGAGCAATCTTTTCCACTTCAAGTTATGTCATAGTCACAAGTGAGCTTACTTCATCACACCTGATGCTTGCTTCAATATCTCCAAAAGCGATCATTCCGTTCGACAGCGACCCAACACATCCTGTGTTTAGCTGCTCGCGCCGCGACTTCTGAGCCCAGCGGCCCGGCCAGACACTAGCCACCATCACGGCGCCACTGAAAGCCTGTCACCGCAGCCTGGGCCGGGCTGGGGCGAGCCGAGCCTGGGTCCAATGGAGCGCCGGATGTAATAAGAGACGCAGCGCCCGGCCGGCCGTCAGCAGCCCAAAGTAGCCGCGCGTTATTGAGACATACCGTGCCGGCGGCCAACAGGTATGTACCGCCGGCTGTTATTGATTATCGGCGCGCTGCTCTCGACCGCGGCGGCCGCGGCGCGCACAAACAGCCGCGTCACGCATCGCCGCCGCGCCGCCGGCGCTCCTGCGGGCCACCCAGCGGCGGGCGGCCGTCGCGCCGGAGGGCATGTTGCTCACCACGGCCTGCCGACGCTGACGGGCGGATAAGCGGATAACTGGGAAGCCGGCACTCTGAACGCATCTGCCAGTTGAGTCGTGGCGCCCGTGGGAACGGCGCTCCCAACTGCATCTGGAGTGCCAATTACGGCATAAGCGTTTGCGAGGCTAGCAGTTCGAGCTGCCATCGGTTTCGGGTTTTCGTTGACTGAGTTCACTGAGGCGAACATATATCGCAGGAGATGCCCGCTTTAGCTCAATGTTGGGCTCGAAACGAATATAACGGAGAATACGTTTGCTTCTAGATGGACGCCTGACAAACATGTGTGCATGACCGGCACGCCTGTCAACCCTTGGCCCTCTCAGACCCGCAGGTAGCGGCCCCCAAATGTGGCGAGTTTTAGCTTCAAGACGATGCCCTGAAGCAAACGTTTACAAATTCCTGGGCCCGCGACAGGTGTCATGAGAAGAGTTTGCCGCGGTCTCAGACACCTCTCCGGTCCGACACTGGCCCACTGACATTGACACTGCACTGCCCACTGGCCCACCGCACGGGCACTGGCAATCTGGGCCTAGCCCGCATCCGTTCATTTACACGGCGTGGAGGCCTACGCCCTGCCCGGATCGTCAGATAACACAATACTTAGTGTGCAGGTTCTCCTGGGATGTAGATATGTCTACCACTCCTATACTTCCCCCAAAATATCTTGTTAGCTACTTTTTCATATTGACTCTTACGCTGTCCGCAACGCGACATTATACTGGACTATGAATGTTCTACGGGTGTGTATCTACGGAACAGTGTTTCCTTTGATATTATCGATCAAAGTGCAAGCGACGGCGCACGGGTTAACGCGTAAGAAACCCATTACCGCTATGCAGAGTCGCATGCAGTATTTCACAATGGAACAGGGGACACAACTCATTTTTTTCGATGAAAACCAAATTAAGAGCATCCTGGGCGTACGACATTTCTTATGCGGCCTGCAACAACATTGTATGGTCTTGATCTTATGCTGGAGTTTACTGGAGTTTCTCGATGACAACATACAGTCACGCACATATAAATGCATGTCATTAAAATGATAAGGATAAGGCACGTGTCTCCGGGGAGTACGATGTGCGCACCCTGCCTCTATTTTTTACAGCCGGAGCATAGACATGCAATAATGGACATTCAAGTCATTACCAACACAAAAATCAAAGCATGAAGCACAACTGGAGTGTCACAAGTCCGTATGACCATGCTGAGCGGTTTAAAAAGGCAGCTTCTGAGTTCCTGTCCTGAAACGGGCTAAAGGCTTTATGAACCCAGCTGCGAAGAAAATGTAGCTCCCTCACGACAACGCCTGTCGTCCCATAATCCCCCTCATTCAATCTGACATCCTGTACGTCTCATTACGTGCGCCACCTGGTTTCGCAGAATCTAATTTACTGGTCTGGTAACGGTTCTAATCAAGACAGCATATCACCGTAAATACACCGTGTTAATCATGCTAATGGCCGGAGGTCACGTGGCCGTGTCCGGCGACCCAGCCGCCATAGGTCGCGCTCGGCGGAGGGACGCGCCGGGTCACGCACAGGCAAACACGATACACGGGTTTGCGGATGTTGGTTTTGCAAGCAAATCTCCTGATGCTGTCTGGACACCGCAAGCACAGGAATAGCCGGGACGCTATCAAAGATGTTGTCCTGACAAATAATCTTCTTTGGGCGAGGGGGTCTGGCGCCTTTTGGCTGTCCAATTGCTGCTTTGGGCGTCAGCTATGACGGCTATTGGCCTGCAGTGCTGCAGCAGTCACTATTGTTTCTTGGTCCCGGGCGCGGGATGGATTTCTGTGACTGTCTCGATGTCGGCTGCCGGCGTGGTTACTGTAGCGGCATTGATCTCGGTCGGTGGCGTACCTGTGTTAGCTGTACTGTAATGGATGTAAAGTTCGTGCAAGTGTTGCGGACTTGATCTCGGTCGCTGGCGTACCTGTTTTAGCTGTACTGTAATGGATGTAAAGTTCGTGCAAGTGTAGCGGACTTGATCCTCAGTGTCGTGGTCGATGCGTTAAAGGCGACATACTCCCTTTAATGATCCCGATATTTCCAATCGCCTGCAGTTTGATCAGCCCGTAAAATTCGCCAGTTGCTTCCGACTCAGTATGTGCCGTTTCTCTTACATTTCAACGCGCAATGAATGGAAGTAGGAAGCCATCGATTCAATCGTTGCTAGGGTATTCGTTTTTGCGATGAATACATGCATGAAAACTGAACCTGCCGGCTGCAGGTCAAAACACACCGCGAGCGTGTGTCCGTTTCACTTCAAGAACTGGGCGAAAGCAAGTGCAGGTCATTAATCAGTGGCATTTGGACGTCACGATAATGTGAAATTGAAGTATTGAAGCTGTGGAAGATGAGTCAATAATTTGGAAATGGATGCATGCCTCCACCTGTTTTGTCAATAAGCGACATAACCCGCGAAAAAAAACGACGAAACCGGGGAAAGCCGTCTCGACCGCTAACCGTTTTTGTGCACGTGACAGGTAGCGCGTGCAGACACAGATTTGGCACCAGGTGGTTCTCACTCAGAGCTCAGTACGATTAAAATGTGTTTAATTCTGGTCGCACCTCCCCGTTGTTACCGTGATGTGGTAACGGTTTCGACCGTGTCGCCGCCCGTTTCGCTCCAGTCACGTTTCCATGCCGTCTGTGCAAAACCAATGGGTTAAAGGGAAATGTCTCAGCTAATTGCGCTCAGTTCGAGCGTCGGGGACTCGCGTGTTGCGATGGCCGGCGTGTTTTTATTGGCGTGCTCTGAAACGGTCCAGGAGATACCATCACTATTCGCATGATATTAACTCCTGCATGCTAAATTTTTAGATCCGGGTCAGGGTGGACACACCCCACCCAGCAGTTCGTTTGTGGACGCAGGGTTTCCTCGTCAAATGTGACAAATGTGTGCCATTTTCAGCGCCAGAAATCCAGACAACATCTCAGTGCACGCTGCTCAGTGACCTCTTCTCCCTGGGCATGGTCATCTGCGCCGTCTTCAACAACGGCAAGTCGCTGATCGAGGCCAACCATAGCAACACTACTTACATGAAACAGTTCGAAGTGGTAAGTGCAAGGAGGGATCTTGACATAGGAAACAGTATGGGTGACAAGTTCACTTCTCACATTTCGGAGGCTTATCTCATCGTCGAAACAATGCAAATGTCACAATAAATAAGTTTTTAGTTCTCAAGGATGAAAATTGTACATCGATATTTTAAGAACATATTTTAGTGCGGAGATGACAACATTTCCATCGTTACTTGAATGCATTTCGAAAACACATAGTCGCAATCACATGCTCAGTAGCCGCGCGCACACCACCCGATAAATCAAGAGTTGTGCAAGAATGTTTTTGTTTGTTTGGGGCTGGTTATAATTCGTTAATAAATGCACTTTCCCAAATTTGAAGGCGTGTTCTGTTATTACGTGTCTTACGGATGTCAGTGTTGTTCTTTGGTTGTTGTCGTGTTAATGTCCTGTCATGTTCGTGCTGCGTGTGCTCTGGAGGTACCCCGTCATGAAAGTGCATCATCAGACGTCGTGAGTGCCGTGGTTACGCCAATGTCGTGTATGGGACGGAGTTTGCGGCCTTGGGGATGGCATTTGAATGGATATACTATATTGGTCCATTCAAGCTTGTCGGGATTGTATGAGTTATTTCTCAGAATAAAGTTGGCAATTTTCCTGTCGTAATCATCAATGGTAATGTCTATTATGTGGTCATTCTTGCCTTTTGCGTGTCAAGAGATATTTCCCGGTAGTGCTTCTTGGTCTTGCTTGTGGGCAGATGTGATTTTAATTTTGATAGTGCATCTGGACGGTTGATCGTTTTGCCTTGTCGTGGTGTATTGTCAGAGTGTCTTTTCCTGTGTCGTATTTCGTTGTCAACGTCAGAATTTGAAGAAAAAACTGTTATTCACCAAGATCTTTCTGATTCTCATCAATTCTGAACGAAATCCTGTCCAATCAGAACAATGCTTGTAAGTTACGCATGATTGCTATGCAGTGCACATGTAAGAAATGCATGAATGACGACAATTCTGTGGCGTCGAGGACACGCACTGTCATCATTTAAGCACCGTCCGTGGTGAACCCACCTTCGATATACAGTCCTTCTAAATCGCGTCGTCCATCAACAGGTCCGTCAAGAAAAGGTATTACATTCTAGACACTTAGTTATCCAGTGAATTTTAGGTCGCATCGGCTTGGGATCGATTGGAAATTGGAACGATCGGATCCATTGGATTTTTTTCAGGTATTTTTGAGACGTGTTAATTGGCCTTTGCCGCCAGCCTCCAAAAGGATATAGTCTAGACAGTGACAGTAAATTTCCCTTCTTGTGTCGTCATTTTGTAGTGTCGGCTTCTACGTGCTCCTGAGGAAATAAGCGAATAAAGGTTTAAGAGGTGAACCCATCACGAAACATTCCTTTATGTGGACCGCGAAAGGAACCCCGGCGTACAGGCCATTAGAAATTGTTCAAGAGGGCGCCGTGAGATTTTGAGCCTAGAGGTTTCGGGATTATTACATACTCGGTCAATGATATGATGGGTATGGTTCTTTCAACGAGCACGTTTGTAAATAGGTTTTCAACACCAAGAGAGGTTATCAGATCCCTAGGCTGACGGCAAAATTGCACGATGTCAATAAATTAATCCGCTGACGGTAAGATGTAGGACATGGAATGATATGCAAACAAAACACGTTAGATTTATAGATGGCGACGACTAGGTGGGTGGTTTTATACCAATAATCTGCTATCTAAAAGGGAATGCTCAACCTTTGAAGATATTGAATCAAGCATCAGATGTGATGATATACGCTCACTCGTAACTATTGGTTAACTTCTAAGTAGAAGACGTTGCTCGGTACAACACCATTTTTATGTTTGTTTAACGTGCCATTCAACGCGTCACCGTTTGATAACGTCATTATACCCAGTACAATATTGGATGAGAGCTAATTGGCCACTGTCGTATCTGAAAATCGTGCTCAAGAACACCACATATGAACAAATCGACAAATCGGGATCGTTTGGCGATTCTAGTGCCCCATCTGCTCAGCGTTGGCGTGACGTCACTGGAGCCTTCCCCTCAGCAAACGCTGCGCACGGCCCCGCGCATTGCATGGTCTTCCGAACGGAACCATTGCTCACCCGTCGGTTTCATCCACCTTGGCTATTGCATGCAAACATTCGAGCGGATAACCATTCGTTTTTGTATTTGCGCTGCCGTTGTTGACAAACGTTTTCTTATAAAAAGTGACCTTGGTGTGGATTCCGAAAACTTGACCGGAACTGCAGGTGCACCGTCCGCACTAAGTGTGTCCTATCAGCGATGGTGCCAATACAGGAAGTCAGACTCACGCAGTCAGGATCACCGTTCTCGCGCATTTACCGTCGCCGGTTTTGTATCATCCGCCCGCGGGTGTCAACGGCCTTCGAGCCAGGCCAGCGTGGACGCCAACCCGTCCCGGATCCCGGATCCAGACTTCTCTGCTCCTTACACAGTCTCCTTACCTCAACAGACTCCCTACACAGTTCACCTTTTTAGTTCCAAGAAAGTATAGGTCTAACACAGAGTCCGGTTCGCGCGTCTAAAAAATACCGTTGCCAACCCGTTGGTTCCTACGTCAAAAGCGGCTGGTCTGCCATCGCTCCCATCCGCTATAAGTCCAAAGTAATGCAAACAAAAGTCACTACACCTCTGTCCCCCTCAGTCTCAGAATCCCAACACGATGTTCTTCCCAAACAGCTCCATGCCGACGTAGGAAAACCTCAGCGGATCTGGCTGGAGAGTGGCCAGACCTCCAGACTAGACCGCGCTCCCAGACCAGAGCCAGACCAAGCCTCATGTTCAGTACAGCTACACGACGGCAAGACAACTTAGGCCTCACTACGAGGTACCCACGTCTCCTCGCCCTGTCACAAACTGACTGCGTAGACTCTCTAGCATTTTAGGCACGTCACAGCATCGTGGCAAGCATTAGGTGAGCGCAGAAGTAGCTGCAGCAGTTTATTGAACACTGGATCGTGACCACGCCACCATCACCGTGCGTGGCGTGACGATCCCGCTGGTCGTGTCGCGCAATCTACAGTCGCGCGACGCTGGTCCGTCAGCATCGACCGAACCCAGCGTGATAGAATTGTACCGTATCAGAAGCGGACAGCAGAGACAGTGGAGAACCCACGCCTCTCAGTGAGTAGTTTGAGCGGAGTCGCCGCTCTTTAACATGGATGCAGCATTTGGTCGAGGGAGCAGGCAGCTAAGCCATCAGCTCACCCGAAATCGCTCCATCGAGTTCACCGGCGCTGGGCAACTCCCGCTACCGCCGGCGCACCAGGCGCGATCGTTAGAGCTCAAATTCCAGTCGCTGAGACGCCAAATATCGCCCGCAGCGCAGCGGTCCCACAGCTAGCCAATGCATCACCGCCGGCGAGCCACGCAAGCCAGCGGGACGGCAGTCCAAGCCAGGTGGAAGTCACGCCACGTCGGCACGAATCACATGCGCCAGTCGTGCCACAGATGCCATGGCATACCTCACTTGCAGGCCAATTGAAACGCTGACAAAAACTCTTGCACAGACGGGGTGACGGAGCCGGTGGCGCGGTGCTTGAGGAGCAGGAAGGCTCCAGTGACGTCATCGCCCTATACTGGCCCCCCTGTTTACTGTTAAGTTGAAAGACCGGCATCTCGAAAATACATTTAGGAGCTTGCTAATGCGGAATCAGCGGTCATTTTTAATCACATTTGCCAACATGAAGATATTCTGCCAAGATATACCGTATAAAACTACACGACCAGACAGTTGGGAGGAGGGGTTGCCCAGAAGGTACAGAAAAGAGTGATTCATCAGTTGGAAGAGAAGAAGAATGTCTGCGATGCTTTTAAGGAAAAATATAAAAGCTTTGGAAAAATGCTACAGGTATATTGCCCATAACTTGGACAAGGAAAAATGATGCTTGACCAACTTGACGTGATTAAATGTGACGCTAGGCGTCTTGCCAGAGCTGTCATTTTGAAAACAACCCTCAAAGCTCCCTGGTTGAAACATAGTATTGGCATTACCGCATATATATATATATATATATATATATATGCGGTAATATATATATATATATATATATATATGCATGTATGTATGTAGGTATCAGGCATAAATTAGTATAATAGCGCTCGGAGCATTACCGGAAACTGCAGATGGCCCTAGCGATTTATCTCGCCATCATCTTACTGGAAACGAACAACAGTACTGAATCTTGGACGTGATTGTCATATGTTGTCAAAATGTGGCTATACTGAGAAAAAAGTAGAACCAGAAATTGATCATCACAATATCATGACTTTGAAAAAAAGAAAACAAGGTCACAGTAGACAAGGATCTAAAAATAGCTTTCTGTGAGAGAGCACGAAGAAGCGTGGGAATGACAGGAGAAAGATATTTGCACAATAGCTCAGGACGGCGTTAAAGGGACTTCGTGAAGAAGAAGGCATCATCATTCGGTAAACGGGCAAATTATCACTTAACATGATGCTTGACATGAAAGAAAATAACAACAACCTAACTTATATTTTGAAGGATAAAAAGAAATTCCGTTGCTTCACAAAAGACCCAACAGTGATACTCAAGAGTAAACTTAACAAACTGATCGCTGCTGATAACGCCGCGCTGATGTACACTTTTCCAAGTCAACGGGCGAATTTGCGCCTGCATACGCTTATGGTTTTGTGAAAGCTCACAAAAAAGGCAGTCATCTTCGTCCAATAATTTCACAGATCCCTTCACCAATGTGTAGGAATTGCAAAGTGTCTTAATGGTTTTCTGTCTCCTTATCTTTCCGTGTCCCACAGCTTATTGTTAACGGATGAAGTTATTGAAATCGTGCAATGTTGTCCGCCTAAGAGTCTGACAGCCTCTTGAGATGTTGAAAACTTATTTACAAACGCGCTCATTGACAGAACCATATTCATGATTCTCCGCCGCGTATACAATAATCCTAAAATTTCTCCCCTCAAATATCACGGTGCATTCTTGAACAATTACTATAGACCTGTGCGCTGGGAGTTCCTTTTCGCGGGCCTGATGGATGAGTGTTTTGCCAAATTGACAGTGCTCTGTCGTCCAAATGCAGAAAGACCTTAGAGTCATTAGTTAACATAACACTCAAGCCCTTTTGCCCTTGGACCGCAGTGTTACGATGGGCTTACCCTCTTGTACCTTTATTCTCTAATTTCGTCACGGGGCATGCAACAGCCGATATGAGACAAAATGAGAATACAAGACAAGACAATTACATTTACATTTCTAGGGATGATATATTTGTGGAGGTTAGGGACACCGACCAGCCAGAACGCCTCAAAAATATCTTTTCGAATAGCTGTTTGGCCTAAAATTCACGGAAGAACTCACTATGCGAACTGTAATACTCCTTCTTGTCGTGAGTGTTTATGAACAAGGATACCGATTTAGAGCGTCTGTATATTGAAAACAGACTTACAGCGGGCGCTGCTTAAATGCTGGCAGTGAGTGTCCTCAACGCTACCAAATTGGTATCATAAGATCATTCCTTACACAAACATTTAAGCACTGTTCTGATGGGACAGGATTACATTCAGAGATCATACGACTCAAACAGCTCTTGTAAACATTTTTTTCTCAATTCTTACGACGACAACAACAAGGGATATATGACAAGACACTTTCACAGTTAACCAACATAAGACAATCAACCAACCCTCCAACTGCATCATCGAAGTAGAATGACATCTGCCTACAAACAGGACGGAAAAGCTCGACGTCCAATAATCTTTCGACACGTAAAAGGCAAGAACTACCACAGAATGGACATTTTCATTCGCTATAGCAACGGTCCAGAGGTCCATAGGCAGCCATGGGCCTTAGATTAGCAGTGCCTCTAGTGCCCTGAGAGGGGCAACTAAACGGCCCGTGGGACACCAGAGTTTTCAAGAGGAACCTACCAACCATTCAAAAGGGGCATTTTCTAATGTCGAAACTTCCATTTCAACAGTCTCTCTGTGCTCGTTTCTCATTCAGAGAGGTCATTTTTATCTGGTTTGCGCGAGCCTCAAATCGCTTTCCATGGGAACCTTGGCCGCCACCCTCACTTGCTTTGGACCTCCAGACCCCGCATTTTGGGTTCTGCGTGGTCCGGGTATTTCGGAGCCCTTCCGACCCCGATAGGGTCTCCAGCCACGCAAGTTTGTCATACTTCAAAAACGAGGTGGAGGGGAGGGGGATACGCTCTATCCTGCCCTCTGATGTTATGTGACCTTAAGCGAGGTCGTGTCTATCGGCCTCAAGCCATTCCAATCCTGAACAAATAGCGAGGGCTTTAAGCGACTCGAATCCACCCCGCCACGGGTGAGCTGATCGGAAGCCAGGCGCTCTAACCACCTGAAACATCGGGACGGAAATGTCACATTGATCCCAAGATGCTTGTCAACGTTATGCATTGCGCTCAAAGGCGCACAGCCACCTGCACCAGAATCGCATAGACGTGGCACTATGTACACGCAGAAATTCAGTCGGCAACAAAAATGCACTTGTATCACTCCTGTGCATATTATTAGAACCGTCCGAAGACGAAAGAAGCCGTGCCTTCCGCATTTGGCACGCCCTTTCCCGCTCTTCCCTGTTTTCGCAGTTTGTTCACTTGACCGCTACGCCCGACTGGCGGATGCCTGAAAGGCGTCAGCTTCCTTGGGAAGCACCTTATTGTAGAACATCGAACCGATCATGGAACGTCTTTCTTCGACAGCTTAGTGATCAGCTGAAGAACACGCTGATGAAGATTCCGGTAGCGCTCCAGGAGGCGGTGGTGCGCCTGCTCAACAGAGATCCCCGTCAGCGGCCCACCGCGCAGCTGCTCTCCCTCATCAAATACTTCAGGTGAGCGCCGCTCCGCTGGATGACACATGGCGGCCCGTCGGCGTGCTCCCCCCAGGATATGTCAAAGTGATGGCTTGCCTTGTGCGATAATTTGTTAACCTGCTTGGTACAAGTTGGAGGTTATTCCAAACTTAAGAGGAAGCTACTTTTTACACGGTTTTAGGCAAGATGAATTGTGTTAATTTCATCTGGGGTGAATCATATACCCGGCCGAGGCTGGAAACCGATCGGAGTACTGCTGCTAGACATTTATGGCGAGAGCATCTCCTTGCAGGAATAGCAAAAGTTAAACGTCGTTTACGGAGTGGGGGGGGGGGGGGGGGGGGGATACAGAGGTCTTCCTTTCTAGGTTTTCTTCTTCTAGGTCCTAGGTTTTCCGAAGTCAATTCTTAGCGATATCCGGTACGGAGCAGAAGTTTCTGGCATCTAAGTTTACATCATTTTGATAGGTTTGCTTTAAAGTGTGAAGCTCCTGGCCTGGACAGTGCATGACCCATGGCTTGCTTCTTGAAGCCAGTTCGGTGTCGGGGTCCTCAAAAGCAGAATATAACGCTAATTGATTGCAGGAAATGCACTCAGAATATTTTGAATCAAACTATTCGTTTTTAGGGTCCTATTTTTGTAGATTTCCCATTCAAGTACATCGCTATTTTTTGTGGATTCTGCGAGATCAGATCATTTAGGATCAGTCTAGGTAAAACTTAAACCTTTCGAAGTGCTTACAGCTTGAAGGTCTTACGCATTTAACATTAATGACACATCTTATGGCTTAAGGAGACCTTTCTAACCCTATTTGCCCCATTTGGTTGTTTTTTATAGCCTTGATATGGACGGACGGGTAAATGCAACAATCGGATTCACCCTTGACATGACATGACACATGACATTTGAAATGTGTCCAAGACCACTAGTGCCTACCCGCTAGAGTTTGATAAAGTTTTCCAAGAAATTTGTGATGCCGTCCTCCGCATCGCCGCAGCACGCTTAGTCCTTCACATCACCAAAGGCGTCTATCGAGAGATAATTTGACATTTATAACGAGTTCACACATGACAGGATATGACGGGACAGGACATTTGACATTTTATCTGGTCTTTTCTTAAAATATCGCACTCACCATTATTCAAACACACCTATCTGATTAAGTGTTATAAAAGCTTTGTAATGCCGTTTTCCGCATTCTCCTAGCATGCTTAGTTGAAATGTTAGCTGGGTGGCGGGAGCTCTGAGACGGTGGATAAGGCAAAGGTCCAAAATCTCATGCAGAACGAGAGTTAGAAATCATCGTATAATAATGTAGGGAAGGGTCATGTGTGAATTTTCGATGGCATCAAATGATCCCTGAATTGTTCCTTACACACACAGAAATTCAACATAACTAAACCAGGACTTTGTATAATTTGACCGTATGCGTGCGGACAGTTCCAAAGGAAGGCTTAGAATTATCTTAGGGGATATTCCAGTTGTTGACGGGAACCTATAGGCTTTCCATTCCCTTTATGATTTCGAGTTTGTCCTGTGAACAGCTTGACAGCTTCAGTAAGGTGAAAAGTAAGGATTTTACCATTACTTATCCAGTTCCACCACCAGATTTCAGCACCAGTTCGCGGTGCTGTAAATACTAATCCGCTCCTATCATCAATCTTAAGATCGCATAGGTGAAATAAACGCCCGGACCAACCGTTCTAAACATTTTAATTGGTGTCCTGGAGCATCCAAAGGCATCTTTTTCAGAAACAACATCGTTTTTGTCCGTCCGATAGCCATGGCCTGGTGTTAACCGCAGGCTGACACCGCGCAGCCTACGGCGAATGCAACGCCGGGTGTCAGGTTTTCGGTTCTGAGACTTGGGATCGCGTGTGTTCATACCTATTTTACATCAATTTTAATTTCTCAGTTCTAAATGCAGGCTGAAAGTCTCCAGCAGAACATGACTTGGTCACGTTGATACACAACTTTGACCCAATTTCGATCGACATAGGTCACGAGTCCTCAATATCTCTATAGATAACCCAGCAAAAGTGCTGACAAAGCCCCCGAGTGTTATTGCGTCAGAACGAGTTCACTGAGCCATGGCAGAACAAGTAGATCCAGCGCTTTACTCAATGTTATCATTTCATGACTTCAGCTTCTTCACTTCAAAATACAAAAGACAGTTGCCTCCTCCGTTGACATCCGGCCTGTTAGTGTAAACAAGCAAATGTAATAATGAAACGAAGAAGGTTGAGCCCCTCGAATTCAAGTGGCCGTATCCGGAGAATTTTGTCTAGGGAGTGGGAGATTTTTACCATCAAGGGGCCTTTGTCAAACCTCGAAACCCTTACAAAGGCCGGCAAGATCTCTGGGGACCCCCGTGTACCCAAGGTCGCTCATGCGCCGTTTCAGCTGCTCAGGCCCCTACCGTCCACAGAGAATCCTCTGGCGAGTGAGGAGTTCCTGGCCGGCACCGTTTCGGACGACCTTTCAGAGGCTTCACTGACTGACCCCTAGGGGCCAGTGGGCTTCTCCGGTCACCAATGGGCACGCGAAATTGCTCAGCGCTGTTGTGGCCGCCGAAGTGGTCAGCTGGCTACTCAAGGGCCCACTGGCCCGTTCAAACGGTCCGCTCTCTCCCCAGAATCATGCAGCTGTGCACTCGCAACCATCTGGACACTCCAAGTTTTGTGAGCTGTTCTGGTGCTTTTGGCCGCTCCCACCGCCTTCGCGAGGAGCCAGAACGGAAGGACTCTTAAAGGTCCTCTGGCTCCACATGAGACCTTCTGGTTGCTCGTGAGCCGCTCCGACCGTTCAGGGGCTCTCTGGGCGCCTAGTGGTCGAAATAAACGTGCAAGTCTTTCTTTTCAGTGATCGCCTTGCGGGGCTGTCTAGTCAGTGATGGGCCATTCGGTCCACTAAGAAATCCGTCGGCGACTGATATACCTCTCTAGCTGCTCCGGGGCCCACTGGACGCTAAGGACCTGGCTAAAGATTTCGTAGGGGCCGCCAGGGACCCCTCAGACCCCGGAGAACCCCATGGACCTAGGGGTGAACTTGGGGTTCCGAGGAGTCCAAAGCGGAGTATGAGGGAAATCCAGAGCTGAGCTCTGGTGGGTCCAGGTCGCCCCGCAGGAGGGCTCTCGTCGGGGAGTGTAGCGGACAATAAAATGCCCGAATTGGATGAAAACGGTAAAAACGGGGTTTCGTTGTTAAAGAATAACTTGAGGAAAGGCCATAGCCCTCTGCTGAAATGCATGAGTGCAAGTCTAGAGTCCTCAATCGATCGGGAGAACCCGAGTCCTGTCACACAAAACTCTGGCATGCTTCGAGCGTGCTGGAAATGCCAATAGTACCCAACGGAATCTTGTCGGAATGGCTTGGACGGAATTCTCCTTTGAAACGGTACTGCTGATAAAGACGTTTTACCCAAATTTCCGAGCACCTCAGGCGCGGAAAAGTACTGGTGCCTTGCCCTGAGCCGCATTGGGAAAGTTAACGATATACTTAGATGACCTGATACCAGTATGAATAGCTTGGTGCTTAAGGAATTGCAATAGACGCTTAACTTTTTGACTACGTGCGTTGGCACCAAAACAGAAAATGTATCCCAGTAACATTTAAGGTGTGGCCACGTCGGTGAAAGACGGGGTAGATGAAAGGTGGGGTAAGCGTCCATACGGTGACAAATGCTTAAGCTTAAGCCAAAATAGCGTCCACCTTTGGCAAGTCAAAACGTGTAACAGGCACCCAGGTGCCGCCGGGTCTGTGCACTCATTTTTCGCAAAAAGCTCTAGTTCTTGTGACAAGTGGAGATCAGTGGTCTGCTGTCAAACTAAAGCTGTCTAAAACTGAGGTGCTCTAAAATGGGGGCCGTTTTGAGGTTAAATGGGCCCCAATGGCTCGGGTCATTGGACCCTGGACCCACCCTCCCCCCCGAGCGCGCACGCTTCCCGCTGGCTATCTTCAGCCCAAGCATGCACCATAGATATGTGGTCAAAAACCAAAAGTATACACCATTGCATTCGGGATTTAACAGCGAACATGCCTGTTTAAGTTTGGTGTCGCTACGAGGCATAATCTCGTACATATCAGCACATTAAGTAAACATCTTGACTTCCAAGAAACTTTGGCCTTTGATCGTGCACAGCGAGGTCAATTATTGACCTAGCAGCATGCAGATTATTACCGATCGCGAGATCTCGTCAAGACGAATGCAGTGGTGCTTTCCGCTAAGTTTTTTTTTTACTTTGGAAATAGCTGGGGGGGGGGGGGGGGGCGTAGCATCGACCCATCACCCTCCTTATCATTCGGGGTTGTGGCAAACGGCCAATCAGGGCTAGATTGAATAAAAGGAAGGCATGACTTAAACTCTGAAGCATTCTTGGCGCGAATTGCAATGATCATTATGATTGCTTCGGTTTTGTTGTTGGTCGAACACTTTTCTTCCCTTATGCTATATGACGAGGCGGAGTTTTGTCCATAACTCGAAGAAATTGGAGTACGAGGTCAAAGGGTGGTTTCCTGTGCAGCTGCCATACTTTTAACAAGTCGAAATTTAAAAGATGACAAGGCAACTGTCGGGTGTTAGGCAATGTAAGAGCTTCGGCATGAGCAAAGCTATCCAACGCATGAGTGATGTGTTGAGGCGAGCAATGTGAGAATGTCCGAAGTTGCGTTTCAACATTGGTTGCGTTCAGTGGTGCATAAATAGACCCAGTATGCGGCAAGCGAGGTAGCGCGTTATGATCTTCAACTTTCCCGCCATTCACAAATTTTTCTTTCCATGTTGATCCAGATGGGTTTGCAAAATAGTAATGATATAATATAGCAATGATACATAGCAAAATAGTTGGAGGCAGAACCGGTCCGATCAAACGATTCATGCGATGTGAAGTGTAAACCATTGTTCGTGTTGTTGCTGAAAGATGCGTGCAACTGCAATTAGTGGTGTCACAGACATCAGCTCCAAGACAGCGCGCGGCCAAGCCGGGCCTGGCTGAGCTGCTCACACTGAAGGTTGCGTC